TTCTTTTTTATAGATGCAAATATTTAAGTAAATGTTCTGTTTATAATAAACAGTATTAACGACATTTACCGGCCTGAATGTCCGAGAAATGTTCATAGAAATTATGCGTCCTCTGAAAATATGCATTTACGAAAATTTCTCGGACATTCAGACCGGTAAATGTCGGTAATACTGTTTATTATAAACAGAACATTTGCTGAAATATTTGTATCTATAAAAGGAACGTATAAAATACAAAAAACAATGTCGTAAAATAATTGTCAGACTTTGTCCATTTCATAATGTGTGACGTCATTTGTTTACATTTGGATACGCATTGAACAGATATGAATGTACGAGAGAAAGACATGGAAAATCGTAGTAAAATCGGCCTTACTAACCGAAACGCTCCTCTGTGGCGCAATCGGTAAATGCACGTCAGGCTATATGACGGTTCCGTATAGGATACAAGTTCGATTCCTGTCGGAGGACGCATAATTTCTATGAAAATTTCTCGGATATTCAGGCCGGTTAATGTTGTTAATAATGTTTATTCTAAACAGAGCATTTACTTTAATATTTGTATCTATAAAATGAAGCTATAAAATATAAAAAAAATGTTTTAAAATAATTTTGGGACTTTCTCCATTACCAGGTATTTAATGGATGTGCAAGTGATTTCCTGGTTAGCGGTTCGGAAAAAGAATTCGCTAAACCTTGTCCGTTGCATTCACTTTCTCAAAATCATTGGGGAAAGATAAGACTCTGTCACTACTTTCCAAACAGCTATTTGTTCAATAGCAAAACAGACTCGTCTCACTAGATGTGGTTGACAACTTTGAACTCCAATTTGTACGTAAACCAGTCCTTGCACATGATATGCTGCTAAAAGGACCATGGACTATCAATGATTCTGATCTCGAGTGTGATCGAATAGATTTATGCTGTGGATTCCGGGTTGAAATCCGGTACCAATAAATAACAAACGCCGGGAAAGAATATATGAAAATAATGTATTAACGTAGTAATACAGGCTGGTAATGCAGGTTAGTAGTTCCAGCAATATGGGTTATTAGCAAAAAATATATATATACAGTCTTTGGTATTGAAGTATCGCTATATGACTTCTTACTGAGTCTACGTGCTCGCTCACTGTGACTCCTACAACGCTGTTACCTGACCCCTCACTCTTCCGGTTACCTACAACCTTTTACTCTGTCACTCTGGACTCGACTCGACTCTTCCGTCTTGCTCTCTCGGGTCTTAACGTAGACGTAGTATATGTATATACTGGGTGAGTCCATTTGTATAAAAAGGGGTGGACCCCTCAACAACTTCAAAACTAAATAATAAGAAAAGTAATGGATAACAAAAATTGCGAATCATGGCTTAACTTAGAATATGATTGCAATCCATATGTAGTTTCTGAGAGAAGATAGAGAGGAAAGGCTGATAAACGGAGTGTTGTTCGATTTTAAATATGCTTCCTTTTTGCAGTAACAATATAAAACGTGATGATAATGTTTTTCAATGGTGGAATTCAAATACAAAGGAATTTCCCATTATGGCGCCAGGAAATATCTTTTACCTCATCCCTCTTCTATTGAAAATGAACGGTTATTTATTATAGGAGGTAACATGTACTTATCAATTCAGAATTGGAAATTTAGAACTGTATCGGGAATTACATCGGAATCGTTAAACGTATTGGTATCGTCCCATCGCTAATACTAATATTTGAGTTCATACTCCGTTTATTTATGAAACTGTATATTGTATTTATTTTTGTCTGTCGTCCTGAATATTCGATTAATCCTTACTCAATTCATTCTTATTCGATTATTCCTTTTTCGATTAATCACTTATTCGATTAATTCCTTAGTCACAGTTTTGTCTTTCATCTTAACTGAACATGCCAAATCTAAAACACGCTGGCAAAACGCGCTATTGCTAAAAATCTCTTCCAGTTTTCCCATTATCTTCATTATCTGTCTAGCAAACGACTTTATTTACAAATTAAAATTGCGGTTTCAATATACGTCAGTGTAATCTCTCTCTCTCTCTCTCTCTCTCTCTCTATATATATATATATATATATATATATATATATATATATATATATATATATATATATATATATATTTATATATAGTCATCCACAGACAGACTTTTTGCTCAACAGTGCGGCTATACATCCAAGTTGCCTCTCTCGCTAGGATCGAAAGCCTGCTGAATTAGCTTCAGTCGGAGATTCTACATCCTAAGCCATTGGTTCACAGAAAGGAAAAAGATGAATTTAAGCATATTCTTTTAGACAAACACACAGTGACTGAGAGGAATCGATTCGCATTACTGAAGAGTCTTGCATTACTAGCAATAATATTCTCATTTTTACAAACTCACACTTCCTCCCCAGAGAGCTCAACCAAAATAAATTTTTCACACACACACACACACACACACACACACACACACACACACACACACACACACATATATATATATATATATATATAATTTT